CAACCCTGTCGGCTGGAATGAGCCGCACGGCAAACCGCCAATGCACCCAGAGGAAGCCTCAAAGCAGTACAAGGACCTTGAAAAATACTCTAAGGAGTTCAAACGCGGTGATTCACCGCCACCAGAGGGTGTTATTGCAGCGGTTGAGCCTGAAGAGGCGGCCAAGCACCAGCCTGTGCAATACAACGAGCCCGAAAGCCAGCGCCCCAAAAATGACTGGGATCAGAAGGCTTTCGACGAGGCCAAGCAGTATGAATCTTTCCGCTACAATGAGCCCGATGGCCAACCTGCCGCCGTTATCGACCCTGTTTCCAAGGGTTTGGGTGACTTCGATGCGGAGATCGCTGCGAAGGCAAACAGACGCAAGTCTTTTGCTCAGACGTCAGAGAAGGAGAGAGCAGACGATTTGGACCTGCTCCGAGCCAGCGATGTTCGGGCCAAAATTCCGACGTCTTCGGGCCAGTCCCGGAGAGAGTACAGCACGACGAACAGACAGATTCTCGAAGCCGATCTTCCCCGATATGCCGAGAACTGGGATATCTCGAGCAAAGCTGCCCGTATTGCAGTGCGCCAGTCTAGAAACAAGGCGTGGGATCACATTCCCTCCAAGAAGGAAAACCTTACTGGCAACTATGTCAGGGACTTCCCCGAAGACTTTTCGGGGAACTGGAACGACATTGTTGCGGCTGCCGCGGATAGTCAAAAGGTTGAGGAAAGCAAGGACCATGACGAGGTTGAGGCCGCGTCCTTTGATGAGAGTTTTCCGAGTCTGGAACGCAAATTGGAGCCATCCCTGGACCGGTCGTCTTCCTTTAGGACTACTCGCATTGCGGGAAAGAGAGGTCAAATTGACCAGTATTCAAAAGAGCCTCAGGGCCTTGAGGTGAGCTACTCCGAGGAGTGCGGTGGCAAGCAGACCTGGCCATCCTACGTCCGGACATATGGAACTGTGACGGACGCCATGACCCATGCCTCTTCAACCGCACAGGAAGCGGTTTCCGCTGCCAAAAGCGAGGGTGTGGTATCCCCGACCGCAGCCGAGGCACCCCGGGAGCCTACCATTTACAAGATTCTTGCATACGACCCGACAATGCAGGCTATCAACACAGCCGAGACTACGTCGGTCGTCCCCGACAGCGCAACACCGCTAACGCCAGCGGAGGTTATTCTACGGTTGTCGAACCCAACCAAGTTCTTCCCCTACTTTAGCACTCTGCAAAAGGAGGGATACGAGATTGTTTCCGGGAGCGGAGACGTCCTGGTATTCCGCAAGGTCCGCGAGGCAGAGACGGCATCCAAGGAGCAGACTGCTGCTTCCTTCGCCCCTGCGATCGAGAAGCCGACGACATACCAAGCGCCAAAGGTGAACCCCATCGACATGATGGGGAGCGACCCCGTAGTACCAAGCGCTTACTCTTCCAGTCCTACAGGCTACCTCAACTATGATTACCCCGGAGCGGAGACATCAGAGAAACCCCCGCCTCCCTTCAGTCCGCTGAGGAGGCGCAACACGATATCCTGTGACAGCCAGGATCTCGAGCCTCCAAAGCGGCCGAAGAGGAGCAGGGCCAAGAAGGTTGTTCTTGGCGCCGTATGGGTCGGCGGGATTTCTTACGCGATCGGTGTCGTTGGAGAGTATTTCAAGACTGGAGGCAAAGATGGTCAGGGGCCTAAGGGTTTGTAGGCAGATGTCGTGAGGGAGGGCTCTGCGGATTGATTTGAGATTTGGTTGGGATGGTTTATATACCTTTTCCGGTTGTAGGATTCGGCTGCCATTTGAGCCAGGCAAACTCTCCATTGTATCAGTAGCACGCTCAATGATGCAATAGTCACTTCTCACTCTTGTCGCACGCTGCTGCGACTGACGCAATTTGGGTGACTTGCTGATGGTGTCGTGCTCTTTCACAAGCGGCACACGCAAACAAAGAGCACATCGAAGCCATATGGGATGATGAATATTTGATGATACAACCTAGTAATACACTTTTTTGAACGCCGTGCCTTCCTAGTTATCGGACGGCGACTTCATCCATGCTCTCCATCATTACCAATCTTCTTGTCCAGGCATAGGGACCGCCTCGGGAAAATTCCGTCTTCGACAACACCAAACCCCCCTTCAACACCACGACCTCCCATTCGTATGACTTAACCGCAACGTTACCGCCGATTCTCAATTTCTCTTTGCGGATCTTTGCCCTCGGACTTTTTACGAACGCTCGGTGAACCCGGGGCCAGTCTTGACATCCTCAATGTGGCTCATCTGCAGCGCGCGCTTCTGGTCTTCCTGGTTCCAGCTCTGACGGCGCTCGAAGGAGGGTTTCCAGCTGCTTGTCGTGGACTCGACGATGGCGCGCGGGGTTGTGGCTGATGGGGAGGATTGCTTGTTGTTGTTTATATTGTTGGAGGAGGAGGAGGTCGGGGAGGTGGTGTAGTTTGAGATGTCGGGTTGGGCGGTTTGTTCGGATGCCATTTTGGAGGTGTTGGACGTTTGGTTTTATTTGAAGATCTTTTGAGGTTTGGGGAGTTTGGGGTTTTCTGTGGATGTTGGAAAGGTTGATGTTTTGTATGGTTTGAGGTTTGGTTTGGTTTGGTGATGTAGGTCAGGTAGGTGGAGAGCGTGGGGAGTGTTTATAGTTTATGCTCGGAGTCGTTGGAATGTAGAGGTTTGATTACACGACGACGGGGTGCAGAGCAACGGGAAGCAGGTGAGTTTCACGAGAGGAAAGAGCGGGGAAGATGAAGAGGAGGAATGAAATCTTTTAAACTTCCCATATACCTCCTCCTTTGCCATACGTGCTTTCCTTCTTCCACTTTCAGGGTCCAATGCGTCCTTTGAGGTTTGGCGCTGCATACACACCACCACCACCATCACCACCACCACCACACCACAGCGCGCCACTTCTCTCCGGATGTGTTTAACCTGTTTTGCCTCACTCCTCCTCTTTCATCTTCCTTCTCAGTGATCGTCGCTGCAAGAAAACGATGCTCGAGAACTAGCCTATCTCCTCTACTTACTTGCTTACCTGTGCTCCCGCGTTTTGATGCAACCTACGCCCTGTCCAATGCAGATATGACGAACCCCCCTCAGCTCTGAAAGACCCCATCAAAACATTCGTCTTACAAGAAAGCAGACGAAAAACGATGCATGCATGTACGGGCACTAGCCTCGAGAGGTGTGGTAGTTGAGAATCATCCTGTATCAGACGATGATCAGCCCAGCAGAGGCTGAACGTACAACATCATAGCTCATTTCTCTTTTTCTGCCCGGCGTTCCGTTGGCGGCAAAGTAGGTCGCATGAAAGAAGGGTAGGATGAGCTAGCTACCGCCAGAACATATCGCCACTGACACCTGTGTGATCGGGGTACCGTGTGTAATCGGCAGCTCTGTCCCATTGACACCACCACACACACCCTCGTCGTCATAAAACGGTTCTCGAGCATATACGTCTTTCGACTGTCACCCTCTGCTCAGATCAGCACAGAAGGTAAGGGTGCGTAGTACAACCGCTACCTACGCCTTGTTACGCAGACAGCCCTCCAACTTCAGTCCAACTGACTGCCGGTATCCTGCGCCCGGGCACTCGCGGCACTACCTGTATTCAAAGGTACTGAAGGACCAACCAGCGAAGCTCAATCACCTAACCCATCTCCTCATCGTAATTATCCACCAAAAGAATTCTTCTAATCATCCATTCAGTCCCGGTGCACGAAGAACTTGAAAAGACATTCACACCGGAAAGCACCTTACACCCTAGGGCAGGAAACAAAAGCAACCACCGCCGTCATTGCGGGGTAGGTTCGGGGGGGGCCCAGACCCATACTAAATTAGGCTTATCGGACGTTATCGGTCAACGAGGGTCCGTGCACTGCACCATGCCGGCCCCACACGAGCTCCGGGATCACCGCACAGGGAAACGGAGGAACGACATGACGCTGCAGATTCCGGCTTCCTTCGTCGTAACTTGCCTCATCTTACCTTACCTAAACTGAGCCGTTTCTTCATAAGAAGTATGATGAATGTAGAGTTACAGGTTCGAATGTCTGTCAGACTGTGTTCGTTCGAGTACCGCGAGATAAGTCTTCTTAGAATCGCATTTGAGAGAGGGCAAGGTTGGCCCATGTAATCGGAGCCGAAGGTCGGAATCGAGATGCGGTGTGTTTTTTTCGGGCACGAGCTGGACGCGGCAGGGATGAGCGCGTGACGGCGTGGACCTCCCGTCTCAACACCCATTTCATCTCAGCTGGTTCATCAGTATCCTGTCAAAGGAGAGCCTCATGGGACGCGAAGTCATTCAAGATCGCAGGCAGCCTCATTAGAACAAACATGATTTTTTTATTCGCCAGACCTCTCTGATTGAAGATGATTCTTCAACTTTTCTAAACCCCTCCCATCCATCCATCCATCCAACACCATCCTATTCGTCCCACCCATCATCATTTCCATTTCCCGTGACCGACTGCCCGCCAGCCCAACTCATATCCCATCTTTCTTCGTATAAACCTTGCAAAACTCAACTTCAAAAGACGAAACAGGTGAGACGAAAAAATCCATCAAAAATCAAGAGACACACACTCCTCGCTTCCAAATCGATTGTAACCTGGATGCCGCATGTATCTCGTCTAACGGGGTCGGTGTCGGGGTTATAGGCGCGGGCGTGGTACGGTGATTCTTGTTTCGCGTGCCTTGGGGGGAATCTTTGGGGTAAAAATAAGGAGGCCGCCCTTCTCCGTAGGTATAGTAGTAGTAGTGGAATCGTACAGTAATGATACGTTGAAACAGAAAAACGCCTTGCGCTATGCAGCCAGTACACACGAGTTGGTTTTGCCCAATGGTGGATTTTGAGAGCCAAGGTATAGACAGTAAAAGGGTGTGATGCAAGACGAGAGAAGTGAGAGGCCATGCTCGGTATATGCACGCCATCAGTTCAGCCTCAGCAAGGCAAAATGGGTGTAGAAACCCCGAAAAAACATGGGATGAAAAGCGATAGCTAGAACAAGGTTCAAGGTGTACGTGGGCGCTTCCAGTAGTATTGCTAAACCCAGCATGTTAACTTCAACCTCTTTACTTCTTTGCTTTATTAATCTTACCTTGTGCTGCTTGCGACACGCGCGCAGGCTGGGCTTGCGCAGACCATCCGTCACGGCAAGGCGGCGCTGGTCGTCGTCGTCGAACTCGGGGACGTAGTAGTACTCGCTCTCGAGCTGCTTGCCAGCAGCGTCCTTGCCCTGGCGTTGAATAATACCAATGCATGCCGTTGCCTCGATCAGACTTCGGAGCTGGTCCTTTGTCAACCCCTTGCGCTCTTCCGACGGCAGGTTGTTCATGATGGTCGACAGGGGGTTGGACGACAGGCGCGAAAAGGCCAGCTGGTTGACGACATGGTTGCGGACGGTAGGATTCTCGTAGGGGGGCTCCGCTTCCTTGACTTCCTCCTCGTCTTCTAGCACCTCGCCTTCTTCAGCGTCCTCTGGCGACTTTGGCGGCGCGGAGATGGGACTAGAGGGCCTTGATTCGTCGCGGACCGTGGGCAGGCCCGTTCGCTTGAAAGGAGGGAACTTGGGAGACGCAGTAGTGATGGAGGCCAAGCGGTTGGAGATATCTGCCCCAAAGGGTCCAAACGAGTGAACAATCGGGTCATTCTCCTCGTCAGGGTCGTTCACGTTCTCGTCTTCCGGCTCACTGAGTTCGGACGAGAAGGAGTTGGTGGCCTCGGTAGCGAAGCTCTGACCAATGATGGTGCCCGAGTCAACCAGCTTGGGAAGCTCGGGCTCGTCTGCACTCGAGTCCTCGTAGATTTGCACTTCCCCATCTTCCCTGGGCAAAAGAGCCTGGAGTCGCTGCGAGCTGCTGAGATGCGCCGTTGGTGAGTCTGGGGACTCGATGCGCGAGGGCCGGCGCAAAGGGCTCGACTGCAAAAGGTCGGCGGCAACGCGGGCAGCGGACCGAGGAGGCGAGTCACCCCAAGCAGAATCATCGGGGCTGGCGAGGCGGTCGCGACGGTCCCGCTTCGGCCATTGGATCATGACACGGGCGTCCTGAACGTCAATCATGATTTCGGTCCCTTCTGTTTCGGACGTGAAGGAATCGCCCTTGAGGAGCTCCCACGTACGGCCCTGGCAGTGAAGCTTCAACCCGTTCCAGCCATTGCAGATGATTTCAATCTTGTTGGGCTCCAGAGCGGAGGGAGCAGGCACGTAGCGGGCCTTGACGTGGATGCGGGACACGAGGCGGTTTGCGGACAGCTGGTAATGGGACGAGTTGCTAGAGCGGCCCATGAGGAGAGTTTCGCCATTCTCGTTCAGTTCGATGGAGCTGACAGCACTGAGGGGAGTGCGCTCGGAGGCGGTAGAGAGTGCTCGAGACAGACCACCAGGTCTTGAGTGTACGCGGGGCGGAGAGGAGGATAGGATGCCGGTGCTCGAGGTCGGGATCGGGGTGGGATATTTCAGGTACGCGTTGCTTGCTCCCACAGAACCGGGACGAGCTTGTCGTTTGGAGGGTCTAGGGAAGCCCGGGGACGAAGAGAGAGGTTCGAACGCCGGGAGAAGGCTCGGGGCAGGACGTTTGGTGCCGGCCAGAGGAAGCGTAGGCTCCTGGGTCTTTGATCGGGGCGAGGAGTCGAGCATTATGGCGACGACAGCATGCCCAAGCTAGGAGAGTGAGAGTGCCGGTCTGAGGATGATAGAAGGGCGTGTTTGGTCCTTTTGCAGTATTCCCTCTTGTAATTCCTTGAACTTGTGTTCCTTGCACGTCGTTGGGAGGTGGGCGCGTTATGCTCGGCGCGGGTGTCGCTTCGACTATCGGACGTGGGATATTGGCGTTGTGCGGGTAAGCGTGTAAGTGGCTCTCGCTCTTCCGGCAGGGGTGAGATGTACAGGAGTCAGGGTCTCGAGGGATATGTCCGTGGAAAGGAGAGAGAGGTAGAGAGGACAAGGTCTGCAACAAAGTTGAATATCTCGAAGGAGGTCTCTAGGATCCAAACCTGGCCACACGTGAATGAAAAAAAAGATAGAGGGAAGGCTTTGGAAGAGCGAAAACTGTCAAAGTGGTTGCAGGTCTGATGGAAGGAGGCCCGGTGGTGCGGCCCTGGACCTTTTTGAGGGGGGCCCTTGCCCAAAAAACGGGAAGCGTGTCTCTCGCGCGTCCACGTCTTTCCCGCGTGTTGGTGGGCGCGCGCCGAATTGTGCTGTGCAGGCACCTCACGTTGTGCTTTTAGGCACTTTAGGTACGTAGAGTGGGGAGCAAGAGTCGCGTGCCCGCTGAGGGTAGACGGGTTTATAGGTAACTTCACGGGACGATGGATGGCCACAGCGGGTAGATGCGCTAAAGATGACCGTGTTTCTAGGCCATGGCCGCTGGACGCGGGCCGTTGTCTGAGCTTGTTGCGGCGGTCACCCGCTAACCGTGGAGTTTAGTTGCTTCCCCAAGGAGTATCTGTAGCTGTGCTCAACCTCATCAGTCTTTACGTCTTCATCACCAACTCTCATTCTCAGTCTCATATTCATTCTGAGTCTTTGGCTTCACGACTTGTCCACATGTAGACCGCCATTTCTCTTCCAGCCTCTTGTGTACAAAACCTGCAGCCATGAGACCTTACAATGGCCGTTGTACCCCTCATCAAGATCCGATCCAGCCTCCCCGAAATCACGTCCGAGTCTCCAAGGCTCCACCATACACGCTTTCTTGGGTGAGAGACGAGTAAGAGGCTGCAAGAAAAAAAACCACTACTGGCCCACTTCCAGTGCGCGTCTTCTCTTACACCACCACATACGCACATACGCTTTCGATCATTGCCGATGGTCAGCATTTCATCCTGCTTCCCAGCTGTTGACGGATGATGAGCTAAGGTACTTTGACATTACGGGGGCCATCCCATCCAACGGCGAAGAGCGCTGAAGAACATACTCATTAGCCGCCCAAGGCCACCACCAGTGGATGAGAGTCCACTCTGTCCAACCGTCTCGCCCATTCGAACCCCGGCGCATCCCAAGCTGGCCGGAATGATCTATGCTAACCAGGAAGGTAAGGTAAACTGACTGAAGTATCCATAAAGTATCTCCCTCGGGATGGCGTGTCCAAGACAAGATCAAGAGGCTTGCAATTTACATTACTAGTAAGTTGCATAGCTAGTGGAGGTTTCTCTCAGAGTTCTCCAAGTCTCCAAGAAAGCCATGCATTCCATCACTGTGCGCTGTTCCCCCCCCAGTCCTTCGTCCATCCCTGTGCTTCACAGCCGAGACTCATACACCCTAAATCGCGATATCGCATCGGGCCAGTTCTCGTCTAAAGCCCTCCTCTGAATCCATTGGTTCCGAGCACGGTCGTTTCTCTCTCTGTGGCTATTATCCGCCTTCCCTTTGCTGCCACAAGCATCATAGATGCGCCAAAGGTCCGCCCGTCTGGTGAGACTTTTGAGTCTTGACCCGCCCCGTCGACTGGGATGCGGGCAACCGGTCCCAGACTCCCAGTCCCAGTCCCAGTCCCAGATCGCCTCGTTCCAGGCTGCCCATGCAATGCAATCCGAAGGGGGTTGAAACGAGCATCGCGAGACCGTGTTTGCTGCGCGTAAAGTGTCTTTCATTTCACACTTGGGAAACCTGGATCCCCTTCAACTCTCATCGCTATGGTCCCTTGATATATATACCATGTTCCAACCTTACGAATCCCCTGCAATTCGTTGCCTTATTGTACGCAAACCAACATATCTTTGTAACGCGTTCCCAAGCGAATATGACTACCCGTCCCCTTAGCACGGGTGGAAATGAGCTGTCAGGAAGCGCCAGACACTTTGTACCCGGAAAGCCGTGCTCGGTATGAAAGTAGGTAAACCCACGTCTTCCCGAACCGTCAATCATCGCGTCCCGACAGGAACACCCCGCATCGCTAAAGCAAGTCGCGCTCCCTCCCATCTCATTCTCGCACGACCCGCTGAGGCTTTTGGGCAAATGATGATCCCGGCGTTCCCAATTGGATTCCATTGGATTGAAAAAACCTCGTTGGCATGTGCATATTAGTGACCGACCAACTTACAATGGCAGTCCGGCCCACAAACCACGTTGTCCACACTTTTCTGAGAGACTCTTGGATGCCGGGACCCGTTTTCAGACTGAGACAATGCTCGTGTGTTGAGACTTGTAGGTAAATTGATTTCCATGTCCGTCTGTAATAGGAGTGAAGAAGCGTTGGTCAATTCTCACACGAATCGCAACCGTGGTGTAAAGAGTTGAGACGTTGTTGCTGCTGAACGCGCTGGTCGACTGCTAATCCGGCTGTCCTCGGCTGACTTTGCATCTGAAGACGCGATATCCACCACTCAACGCGTCGAGACATGTGCAACCTGTTTTATGTACTGAATAGAGTCTGACCGTCAAATCCAAGGCCAAGAACTTCATCCGAGGCCTTTGTGGCCAAAATTTGCTTCAACATCGGGACCAGACCGCCAACTTGTGCACTCAAATCAGCATCCAAGAAACCCAGCAAGTCGCGGCGGCGCGGTGAGTGCGGTTGGAGCCAAGGTCCTTCACCGAGCCTTCACCTCGGTCAGACCAGACCGACACGGGAAGCACGGACCCCATCGGCACCGGCGCCCTGGATCCGCCGACAGGACATGATCCCTGTCGTTTTGGCCAAAAAATTTCTGGACGACGGTCCAAAGATTTCTGGTCGCCCCCACCATATCTCTCTCTGTAGTCGCCGTGTTGAAGTTTTGCCAGAACCAAAGAAAACCACAAGACGAGCCTTCAACCAACCCGTCAAACCAGCAGTCATGGCTCCCTCAAAGACCGTCGCCGTCGCATCGAAAGATGTTACGCCCTCAATTGACCCCGAGCAGGTAATTACTCCCCGGTACTTTTCCTCCCGTTTGACAGCAGCGCAACTCCAATCAAGATCTCCCAGATCGCTAACCGATGCGCGAAACCTTAGACCCTGAAGGCCTCCAAGGCTCTCCTGGCACACATCAAGAAGGCCGCCAAGGAAAAGTCTGAGGAATCCGGCAAGAAGAACCTCCTCGCCGACGAGACAGAGGACCTCGCCAGCCAGCCCATCTGGCTCACCCTCACAACCAAGCGCCACATCGCCGACAGCGCCCGCCTCAAGCCCGGCAAGATCACCCTCCCGCACCCCCTCAACCAGGACGAGGACGCCACGATATGCCTCATCACCGCCGACCCCCAGCGCGCCTACAAGAACATCGTCGCCTCGGAAGAGTTCCCCGAGGCCCTCCGCAAGCGCATCACCCGCGTCGTCGACGTGGCCCACCTCAAGTCCAAGTTCAAGCAGTACGAGGCCCAGCGCAAGCTCTTCGCCGAGCACGACGTCTTCCTCGCAGACGACCGCATCGTCAACCGCCTCCCCAAGGCCCTCGGCAAGACCTTTTACAAGACTACCGCCAAGCGCCCCGTCCCCGTCGTCATCTCCGCTAAGCCCCCGCGCGGCGCAGACGGCAAGCGCGCAAAGGCGGGCCCCAAGACCCCCGGCACCGTCAACGCCGGCACCCCGCAGGACATTGCCGCCGAGATCGAAAAGGCCGTCGGTGCCGCCCTCGTCAGCCTCACTCCGTCCACCAACACCGCCATCCGGATAGGCTACGCCGGCTTCAAGCCCCAGCAGGTCGCCGACAACGTCACCGCCGTCGTCGACGCCCTCATCACCAAGTGGGTGCCCGAGAAGTGGGCCAACGTTAAGAGTATCTACGTCAAGGGCCAGGAGACCGCCGCCCTGCCCATCTGGCTGACGGACGAGCTCTGGCTCGAGGACAAGGACATCGTCGCCGACGACAGCGAGCAGGCCAAGGCGATGAAGGAGAAGGCCAATGTCGGCAAGAAGCGCAAGTCGATCGGCGCTGACGACGAAGAGGCCGAGACTGCGACCAAGCCCAAGAAGGCCAAGAAGGCGGCCAAGGAGGCGGCGCAAAAGGCTCTTCCCGAGGGCGACGACGAGAACCTCAACAAGCAGATTGCCGAGCGCAAGGAGAAGCTGAAGAAGCAAAAGGCCAAGGCCAAGGCTGCCGTCGACAACTAAACGTGTTTGGAGACCCAGGGCATGGCTGTAGAGATGGTACCGAAAAAATAAAAAGGAGGAAGGGTTTTTACGTGCGGGATTATACCATGCATGGTTTGTGGCGTACGGCGTTGGTTCAAACAAAAATCAATCATGAGAACTCGTGCTTAGAAATTTACCAATAAGAACTAGTGTACAATTTTCCCTCTTGCACTTTTTCCCTTGTGTCGCTTTCATCAAATCACTACCCAGCAATTACAACTCCTCAAAGACAGGAACCTCCTCGACCGTCTTCTCAGCCTCAAAGGTCTTCTTGAACGGCCCAAAGAACTCCTGGATGGTCTTATTGAGCGTCTTGTCAGAAATCTGCATATGCTCGCCAGGAACCTGGCGGAAGCGAAGCCCGCCCTTGCGGTCCAGCTCCCTCAAGCCAATCCAGTCCTCCTTGTAAATCGCCCGGGCCCGCAGCGGCAGGCTCTCGGTGCCGTTGACCTCCTCGAACCACGCCGTCTCCTTGGGGATGACGGTGGTGTCGTCCTCAAACATGACCATGACAAAGTTGGCCAGGCTGGCGAGGTTCTTGCCGTACCGCACGTTCTTGAGCTCGCGCTCGTTGTTGATGTCGGCCAAAAAATTGGACGACTCGAGGTACTTTTCGTACTGCTCCGGCTGCGGATCGCGGTAGTACTGAGCCGGCACGAGGCGGTTCTGGACGAAGCCGGACCAGGTGTTGAAGCGCAGGAGGGCCATGGCGCCCTTGCAGAGGAAGTCGCCGTCGCCGCAGGCGCGGAACTCGACGATGCCGTTGTGCTGGCTGCCGTAGGTGACGAGGGACCGGACGGGCGGGTTGTTGCAGCGCTCGACGTAGCCGCGCAGGAACTGCCCGCCCTGGCTGAAGCCGATGGCGTCAACGGCGGGCGCCGTGGAGAGGATCGGGTGGGCGGCGAGCTCGGCGCAGACTTCCTCGAGCTGGGTGGTGACGTTGCCGAAGAAGGTGGCGGAGCGGTCGGCGTTGGGGTCGGCGCCGACTTTGATGGTATAGACAAAGGTGCCCGGGTTGAGCTCCTCGGCGACTTCGCCTAGGCGCTTGATGCCCTCGCCGTCGTACGAGTCGCCGAGGCCGTGCCAGACGATGAGGGGGATCGGGTGGTCGTCGGTATCGTCGGACGAGCTTGTGTGGTGTTTGGGGGTCGCGGCCGTGTAGGCTGCGGTGGCTAGGGAGCCGACTGTGAGCAGTGTGGGGATGGAGAGGGACTTCATTGCGTATTCTCGTATTCTCTGGTTGTTCGTCTACTACTATCAAAGCTGGACTATGGTTGTGAGGTTGGAGAGCGACCAGTGTCCCGGAGACTTTTGTTGGTCTTTCTTTGGATGTCAAAGGGATGGAGGGGAGTGTGGCAATGGAAAGCTGACGACACCAACACAAGCCCATGGACTGCAGCTGCGCGGTTGGGCGAGAGAGCAGGAGCTTGGCCGTTGCCGCCTGCCTATCGCCATGCAGTGCTGACTTATCGATTGAGCTTCCCATTGGCCACGGACAAAACATGTGGGCTGGGGGATGTTCCGAGAGCCCGTCCACTCATCTTCACTGAACGTTCCTTTGCATGTGCTTAGGTCAGCACCTTACCAGCGGTCCGTGCCATCCATTTCACGAGTTTCCCAGGCTCCAAGGGGTTAGCGTCTCAGGAGCTTCAACCTCGACAGCTCTCGAGCCGTCTCTTTGGCCCGGTGCTCTCTTACACCGTGATACCTAAGCTCAACTACTAAGCCAGACGGTAGACCTAGCCTCCCCTGTCAACGTCGGTCAAAAGTCTTCGAGGTCCGGCGGTCCTCCTCTGCCAAGATCACAGCAGACAGACTAGAAGCAGCAACAGCTCCAGCCAGGTCCGTCGGGGGCCTTGTCAAGTGTCGGTCCTCGTCCCTGGGAGCTAATCGCTCCCGGATGGCGGTAGAACGCAGCATTGACATTCGTTACGTCGATTGACTCGAGTGGCTATCCCTTCCCCCAGCCGTGTGAGTGTCAACGGCTCAGTGGCGGGTAGATCCCAGGTCGGCGGGATTCCCTGCCCTCTCTGCCGCTCTGAAACGCTCTCGGTGCGAGACCAAAGATGCAACCAAGAAATAGTCCCCTGTTTCACGCAACCTAGCCTCTCAGGCTCTCTTACTGGTGTTCCCCCCGGAGTACCACCACCACCGCGACGCACCCTCGTACAGGGACACGAGGGGCAGAGGCTGACGACGCTGGAGACCGAAGGGTGCATGAAGTAGCCTTGTGGCTGGACGACGTTGATCGGCCGATCTTTTTGCGGCCTTGGCTCGGACGGCCTGTGTTCGGGCGAACCCTCTTTGCTGGCGGGTTGCGTGGGTGGGCAGTGTTCGCGGGTTCCATAAGTATGGACGACGGTCCCTTCTCGAACGACACTTGAAACACGGGAAGACGAGTATGCTCATTGAACTGAAAACCCATTTGCAGAATTGTCGAGTTTATCTGATCTGAACAACTGCATCTCTCTATTTACATCTTTCAATCTAAATATACGCCTTTGCTCTCTGCATTTCACTCTTCTCGTCTCGCTCATCAGACGTTTTCATCTCACAGTCCGACAACCGATCGATATGCAGTTCTCAAAGGTTCTCTGCGTCCTCTTCCCGGTTGCCGTCCTGGCGGCGCCGTTCAAGACCTTCGAGGTCCCGACGCTAGATCCCAACACGGTTGCACCGGTGGTTCCCGCTATCGACCGCCGTGTTCCTCAGGCGGACACTTGTGACGAGTAAAGTGGCTTTGTGGGACAGCACTGAGGGAAGATACTGGCGGTTCTATCAACGTTCCTCTAACACAATGCCGAGGGATGGGTATGGAAACGTCAGTGTGTTACTCGGTGCTAGGAGCAGACCAGTGATATCAAAAAGGTTTGTCTTCATCCAACAACATCAACCTACGCCCATTGCATCACTTCTCGACGCATTTTATACCCTCAACGACGTCTCAGTACGGCATTGGTTGCATACAATGACACCAAGCCGCACTTTGATACTCCTTTCAATCCTTTGTTGTCTAAAGACATGAGGCATGGCACATGGCTAACATCACTCTCAGATACCCCCATCACTAGTCTACATGCTCAATCTGCGAGGAGGAACGTTCAGGAGACGGGACTCCTAGGTCCCATTGTGAACACGGCTCCGGTTCAGGGCCTCACCAGCCGCACCTCAACTCCCCACGCGGCTGGAAAGGATGCTTCGGTTCTCCGAGTTCGTTTAGTGGAAACGGAAAAACGTTTGGGGAAGGAAAGAATATTATTGTACCTACCTTTGAAGGCGGTCTTTCGAACCTGCCCTTGGAAAAGAAATAGACGCCGAGATATCCACCACTTTCTCTCTTGACTCTTTGCTTCCATACTCTACCGGTTGACGATACCTTCGTCGTTGGGCGACTGCAGTTTCGCCGTGCTCTCTCGGCCGTCGCGTCTTGAGGGCATTTATCTTGATATCGACAATTGCGGTCTTATTGCGAATCTCTCTGAGAAGCTATCGTTGCTCCAACTCAAGGTTTCAATACTCTCTTTTCGAAGTCTCTGCGTTCGCTTTCGGGATTTGCGCCTTCACCACTCTCTATCGACTGGGCTTACTTGGCAACTGAACTGTCTTGATCTATCCTTCTAGCTCAGCTTCGCGATCGAGCAGCTTCTTAGTCGAGCAGACTCACATTTACCAGCTGAATACAAGCTCACCTACACTCTCCTTTACTCTCCCCTCTCTGAACATCATGGCAAGTTGATTTCCTACCATTTCCGAGACCGCCCGCGGGTTTCTCTATTCGCCCGAGGATACTGGAGAATTACCTGCCATTTTGTTTTCGAGATATTCACTAGAGGGAAAAATCTTTGGAACTTTACTTTCTATCGGAAGCACACTTACTACTAACTTACAAAGATGGATGATGAACTAACGCAATGAATAAACACAGATGAAGTCCCCCGGAATCATTCCTGCTGGAATGACTGCTCTCAACGGATACTATGTTCCTACCAATCCTTCGATTCCCGGAACCTCAGAGATCAAACAATTCGACTTCACGGTTGACGGTCATCCCAAGTTGATTAGAGTCTTGCATCGACAAGACCGGTCCGTTGAGCCGCCCCGCTTCCGGCTCCGAGTCGTGGAGCACCCCAACTGGGTGACACGGTCCGTGCGCAAAAGAAAGGTCGACTGGAACGCCGCGGTGGACGCAGGTCCAGCACCGTTCACCCACCCCACCGCGACTCTGCCGGACATCTACAAGGCAGTTTTGGAGACCCTCGGACGCGAAATCTCGGAGGCTACGCTGGAACAGATCAACAACCTCCACAAAGACGACACCACTCTCGACCTGCCCCTCGAGGGAGATAAGGTCTGGTTCGATGACTATAGCTGGATTCAGCTTCCCATTAAGCGTTCTTCGTACCTAGCCATCGACCCAGACGACGACGGTGACTCTGACGACACCGGCACCGTAGGCGACAACGACCGGTACCTCGACTGCGATTTCGATTGCGGCGACGCTTTCGCGGACGAGAACGAGAAGACATTGCAGGGCGATTCTGACACGGCTGGCAAAGATTGTGACGGCGACTATACAATGGCTCCCTCCGGCCCCAAGGCGCAGAGCGTTGCGCAGAGTGCTGCTGCCACGAACAACTCAGCACTGGCCGCCGAACCCGCGGCTGCTAAGGGTCCGCACCCTGGACATATGCAGGTGTCTTGCCAGTTCACGAGCGAGCAGAGATTGAGACGCATGCTGCGAGACAACAAGAGCGATCCAGCTAGGGAGGATAGCTACCGTCTTCAGGGAGTGCAGCTCATCGATAACGTCCGCACCATGCTGCGCGTGTATGTTGGACCCTCGTTCTGGTTAAGATGGCAGGAGCTTGATGAAGTGGCGATGCTGACTTTTTACTCGCAGCCCTATCAAGACGTTTGACACTGCTTGTGTCTACTTCCACTGGTTCAGACTCTCGTTCCGCGACGCCGAGTACAACTACTCAGATGCTGCCATGGCTTGTCTCTTCCTGGCCTGCAAGGTTGAGGACACCATCAAGAAGTCCAAGGAGATCCTGTGTGCTGCGTACAACATTAAGAATCCCGAGCACCCCACGACCCAGGACGATAAGGTGTGTAATGACCAGTAGTCTACTATTTGGCTGTGACTAACCCAATCGCAGATGTTCGAACAGCCCTCCAAGATCATCATCGGCCTGGAGCGCCTGGTCCTTGAGACCGTCGGTTTCGACTTCCGCTGCCGCTACCCCCAGTCCGCTTTGCTGAAGGCAACCAAGAAGATCCTGGGTCCCCAGTCCAAGACCGTCTTCGCTACCGCCATGGAGATGAGTGTCGACCTGTACAAGACCTTTGCCCCAGTCAAACAGACAACCTACGCCCTGGCTCTTGGTCTTCTAGAGCTCAGCGCCCGCCTCCTCGGTCAAGGCGTCGACAAGGTAGAGAAGATTAACTACGCAGACTTCCACACGACGCGCCAAAACGTCGTCGAGACGGTCCTCGACCTCCTCGACCTCTACACCCAACACGGCAAGTCCACCAAGCTCGGCGTTCAGTTCGACCTCAACAAATTCATCGAGGTCAAGATCGTCATCAACAGCGAGGTCGACAACACTCCAGGCCTCGTGCGCTACGCCCACTGGTGCACCAACTGTGACGGCGGCGAGGACGAGAACCTCTCCAACGGCGTCTCCGTCCTCAAGAATATTTCCTTCTTTGGTAGCAATTCTGCTAAGCGCAACGGGCGCAACCAGGACGGCACCATGCGCTTCGTGTTTGACCCGGACCGCGCCCGCCAGGAGCGCAAGGAGGTCGAGGCTTACTACCGTGACGAGTATGAAGAGTACGAGGTCGAGGTTGAGGTTCCCATTGAGCCTGAGCAGCGCGGCGGCGGCAACAACAATAACAACCATAACCACCGCGATAAGCGTCATGAGGGCGGCGGCGGCGGTGGTTGGGGCGGTCGTCGTAACCACCATGGTCGTGCCAAGGGCCGCGGTTACTACTGAGCTTGCTTGCTACCTCTATCATCACCTTCATCTTTGAATTCGCTCTTCACCGCGCGGCGGTTACTACTTCTGTCGACGCTTACATAGTACCCGCCAACGAACGAGGCTCTGCACATCAAGTGTATATGGGATGGAAGGGGAATTTTGTCCGATTATCTGGCGTTGACGGTACCAAAAGATACCCCATGGGAAAAGAATTTGGAATGCTTTTTTGTTTCCGAGAAGGAAAAACATTACTTTGGCGGTTTGAGTCCGCTCGCACGTCACATTGTAAGAACTACAATTCATATCATGAAGCTTGTTTAAGCAGATAGGAATTGAAACATAAGGTTGCAAAATTTTACGTTACGCTCCTTACTGCCTGCTTGCAATGCAGCGCACTGTATCAATCAGCCCACGATCAGCTGAACAACCTAACATTGGAGGCATGGGGGGCTAGGATTACACCAGGGAAAAAAGTTCTAGCTTTCTCCAAAAAGGCCTCAGGAGCAACTTGAAATGCTTAAGCCATTTAGCAGGCTGTCACGGTATGTTGGAGCACGTCACAACTGACTTCGTCACATCCATTTGAAAGGTTCTTTTACAAGATGTCAGCGTTTCGGTTTGCTTACCGGAAAAGATACCAAGGGAGCTGGCGGCTTGCTGAGCTGGCGGGGCTCAGCCTGCATGCGTTGGCTGTGGCCTCAAACCTGCATACGTTAGTGGCGTTGTGCATGTTTTGTCAAGGGCGGAATACAGGCTTGGTGCTTTCCCTGCGTCATCAGACTTGAAGGATGGAGGTGATGAGGTTTGCAGCCAGGCAGAATTACGGATCAGTTACCTGGAGCGACGAGTTCTGCCATGGTTGGTGGACCTTGGCTTCCCATAGCAAAGCAGTGTGGCGTCAATGTAGGCCAGAAAGATCCACTGCAATTTCAGGAGTTGATGTGGCCTCAAGTAGCCTCGCCTCCTTGCTATGGGAGCCAAGGCGAACCATGTCAGCTAAGCATATATAAGGCGACGGCAGACCCGTTGAAGAATGAAACTCGCTCCAGAATCGGGCACCACGTACCTGCCGACCCGTTGGAGAAACATAGACAGTTATCGTTCAAAACATTTATTAATAACGGCTTTTGTAGGTCTTGTAAGGTTTTGTATGTCTATACTTGATAGAACGTCAACTATCACCATGGATCAAGACTTGAACAGCATTAACCATAACCGTGAATCCAGATATGGCGAAGATCTATGCCCATCGGCTGCCTCGTGGCGGCAGAATTTGTAGGCCCTCTGCTCGCCTACCACGGTTCGTGGCTACACATACTTACCTCAAGGTTCTTGACATAGACCCCTAGATTCAACCTTCTTACGAACATCACGCAACACAAGCCTTGCGCCTCTGAGCGGTTCAATCTACAACGAAGCCAGATACAATTCAGCTCGAAACCCAGAACAGAATGATCTAGGATGGCGAAGCCTGCAGCAGGGCCTCCCTGATGGTTCCCACCATGCCATCCATAGCGACACGTCGAACAGCTTGTACTACACCGGAGGCACATGGTCGTCTGCCGGTCCGTCAGAATATCATGGCGTCAACATTTCAGAAAATCAATTTCCTGATAATGGCTTTGCCGGCTTGTCGAGCCCCTTCAATGGGTCTCTTGTGGCCATCCCCATTTCTGAGCCCCAGGCAGCAGCCTTCGTTCGATCGGATACTATCCGAGACTCTCACCCGGCTTCCTCAGGCCTTTTCCTCAACGGCGATACTGCATTGCCACTACACCGTCCAAGGGCCAACGAAGCGGGCAGAGACGACAAGTATCATTTCTTCGGTTCAATGATCCCCGTCAGCCAGCCGTATCATTCTTCTCAAGCGCTCCAAGCTCTAGACTTCTCGCTCGACAATGGGCTCGGTGATGCAAGCCTAGGGCCCGGCTACTTCGGTACCTCGTGCATCGCAGAAGCCCCCCTGAGTTACGAATGTGACAGAATGAGAAGCCTGGTGAGCGCATCTAGCCGGGCATCCCGCACCCCCTCTCCACTGGCTGCCAGCTGTATTGATTGGCGTAGAGATAGCTCCGATTTAGATGGACTGACGACACCGGGGGATTGTCCCTTCTGTGAAAACTTTAGCGGAGATGCGGAGCGACTCAGGTTCGTGTAATAATAGTGCCACCAACCTCTACATGATGATTAATTTGATACAGGGAGCACATGAGATGTCACATCAAGAAGCATGTCTGTGAATTCCCTCGATGTTCCCGGAGCTTCAGCACAGCGAGAGACCTTCTCAGGCACGACAGATCTGCACACCAGAAGGCAAAACTCATTTGCTATATCTGTGGAGCTAGTATTCGGGGCGGGCGCTTGGACAATTTGAAGAGACACATGAGGCAGAGGCACCAATTGACACGGGCAGATGTGGATGAGCTAGCTCGATAGACTTTCATGTTGACGGCTTGCATGCTTGCAGTTTTAGACTGGACTGCGGAGTTTGTATACTTGCAACTTATCATTCCTCGCTGTTATTCGATGGGATAAGCACACGATCTGCATCGGATATACACGTCACCTATATTGGACTTGCATGGGCAGCTCCATGGTTGTTGTCTCAAGAACCCGTACTCCTTTGTCGACATGATGAAACAACTCTTGTGCAACCACATTACTCGTCCAACATACCACTGTCAGTCAACGATGAGGCTGGATCTTTTACAAGTTCAAGGAAAACTGAAAGGACCTGGGAGAAGCGCCGTGATTTCCTCAAGACATGGCATTCTGATACAATGTGACTAGTCGCTTATGAAGAAGCAACTCTATTCACCAAACCTTTCGAGGAAGCATGATCCAGCGTCTCAAACCTTTCTGAAGTCAGCCTCTATCAGGGGTTTGTATATGTCATTTGTTATGTGTACTACGGATAACCGTAATGAAGCAGGTTCTCGATAAAACTCGGATGAAGAGATTTTCGCTGATCTTTGTACAGATACAAAGTTATGTTCAAATCAACCAAGACATAGGGCCTGGATAGTTGAAACAAGAATATAGGCGTATCAGTAAATACTGCGCAGATCAAATAGTCCGGCGGCATCAAGGTTCTCCTTAATTGTTGCGTTCAGTTGAACATTGAATGGGCCAAGCTCCAAAGGGCAGTAGTGCTCCTTGCCGCACATGGTGTCTTGGAAGTAAGATCGAATGGCGGCGAACGCACACATGTTGTTCGTGGCGACAGTGGTGTGCTACGAAAAGGTGAGCGCATTGTACCTATGAAAGAGATGTTGAGATTGAGCTTACACCCATGCCATCAGTGACGAGTCTCCGAGCGTTGGCATACTTGGGCGCATTCGAGATGGCGCTGAAAGTTTTCATCAGCAAGGGTTGTCACGGTAGGTAAGCTCAACTTACTTCTCAATTGGCGTTGTAGGATCGTAAGTATTGCTGACGAAGAGCATCGGGTACGAGGTATTACCTCCATATGGACCCTTGAAGACGTCGTTGGATCTGATGGGCCAATCGAGACATGCGAGCATCGTCCTAGACCAGACTTCTCCCACGATGCTGGTGTCCTTCAAGCCGTCCAGTAAGGGCTTGATATCCGCGAGTGACTTTCCGTACCAGATGTTGCTCTGATCAGAGCATAAGATGCCCAGAATCTGCTCGGGGTTCACGTATCCTCCCATATTGGGATCTCCGTAGATCGCATTCGTCTGCTCTGTCCACGCAGCAATGGAGTTGGACGATATTGCCTTCTCCAAAGCAACGAAGACGTCGGAAATTCTGCTGAACTCGGCCAGCGGTTGCACCACCGCACTAAGAACACTGACTTTGAAGGTCACAAGTGCCAGGCCAATGTCAGTTGCGTTTGCCCAGCCCTCTGCCTCAGCTTTTTGAGCGTCAAGCTGCTTAAATGAAGCATTCCATCGGCTGAATATGTCCTTTGGAGTGTTTCCCGTATAGAAAGAGCAGATATCTGGGCCTGCGGCGTGACAGTACACGAAGAAGGCTCCCAAAACGCCGTCGACGTGGTTGATAGAGCTCGAGGTGAAGTTCGTCTGGTAGCTAACTGGGTCAACCAGTCCATCGATGGCAACATGGCCAACCCTATCAGGGAACATTGACGCAAACGTCTGTCCGAGCATGGTCCCGTAGCTCACACCGTAGTAGTTCAGCTTATTCGAGTCAAGCACCGTACGATTACCGTCAGGAGAGGCAGAAAAAGCCTCAACAATGCTGAGCATATCGCGAGCGGTAACAGCAGTCGTCATATGCGGGCCAGCTTCGGTATCAGCACCAGTCTGAGCTTGACACTTTTCTCCGAGCTCCTTGCCAAAGTCGATGAACTGTTGGTAGTACCCATCAACCACCCGCGGGGCATCCCGTCCGGAAAGTGTACCATTCTTGCCTATCGAGATGCCTGCTGAGCAATTGGGCCGCGGTTCGCTGATCCCGACACCGCGGGGGTCAAAGCCGATGATGTCAAAGTTGGAACCGGCTACGACTTGAACCGTGGTGCCATTGTAACGCGCCAGCTCGATCCCAGACGCCCCTGGTCCGCCTGGGTTGATGAGGATGGCGCCTCGGTAAGGGCCGTCTGGGGACTCGGCGGCGGCGGGGATCTTTAGTAAGGGGACGGAAGCCCTGCCAAGACTTGGATTCTTGTAATCGAGAGGTACCTGGGTAATTCTGTTAGTTGAAAAGACACGGGGGTTGAAGATATGACTTACATCGAGCTTGGCGCAGAAGAATTGGCCTTCACATGGGCACCAGACGAGGTCTCGGGAGGGAGTGATCGAATCAAATGTGCAGTCTTGAGCTTCAACGGCTCGGAATCCCACGAGGGCAAAGGCGGCCGCCAGTTTCCAAGATGTCATTGCAACTAAAGGAGGAGATGAACGAATGTGGTGGTTTGGTGTAAAGAATGAAAAGAGCAGAAAGGCGAAATTCTCAGTCGCTTCTCGGTTGGTCTGGATACTGCTTTGATACACCAGCATCGGACGGGACTTTGATTGATATATATACAAATTGCCAGGAAAGTTGAACCACTGCTAGACGACTTTCGAGAGGGAGTATGGGTAGTGAGTGAGAAGGCAAACACCCCTTCCGAGACAAAACCTGTCCCCATTGGAACTTCTTGAGCTTGGCTCCGTCACCACCGCTCTCGTCATCTTACATCTGGCATCATAAAGTCCTGCGCCAAGTTGATCATTGCTGCCACTTACACTACTTAGCGCGTGAGGGGTTTCTGAGCAGCATCCGGGGCTGCATAGAAAAGGAGATTAGAAGTAGGCTGTGCTCGACCTGCGGGTCACTCGCAGGGTCTAAGAATAACCTGCAGCTGGACTCTACAAGAATGCGATGTTTCAAACACGCCCATACAATAATTAAGCTCGTCTTGATGTTTCCCGATGGAGAATCTCGACGTAGGTAGTCAATCTTAGGCAGCAGCCATTCCTCCCCCGTACTCCGAACGAGCGAGCTTACCGGAGAAGATCACTCTAATCAAGAACACGTTGATGTTGTAGAGGAGTATTCTCTACCATAGCCACGATTGGGTCTCATGGATTTCGGATACCAGATGTCTCTAGCAGTTTCATTTCCTCTTGCGACGATGCCAACCACTTTGATGATAGAAATCCCTTGCTTACGCTCTATGATTGGTGGCGAGCGACCACCACGCCCATATCACTAGACTGAAAATCGTCGCTTGCACCGAAAAATTCCCATAGACCGTGACAGCTAAGTCGTACGATCTCCAGAACTAAGACTACTTCCAGGATATCAAGCTGATGAAGGTGTAGTCGAGACAAGCAGGCGAGGCCACACGTGGGGATATTCCCATCAGGGAGACTATCCCGCTTCGCGTTAGTGTTATACGAGCAAGACAGGGATCGAGGGGAGCTTGGCAACAATAGAGTGGCTCCAAGACGATAGAGACCTAATGTAAGTCACATTTGGCTTCCATTTCTGTCTATACGAAAGCTCCGACAAAATTTTGCAAAACACCCGATGGACGATTTCGTACATTACCTCACATATTCGGTTTATAGGCAAGGTAAATTCTTGCCATTAATTGTTCACTGAAATGCCATACCAGGTAGGTCACTGTCGAGACAGATGAAGCAGAAGAAGTCAAGGCTAATGGTGAACAGGGTGACGAGTGAATGAAGATCCCTCCTTCAATACCGTCTCTTGGAAACCAGCCATGCGTTGGCCAGAAGTTCATGGTCTTGAACGTCAAATTCATCGCGTTCTTATTAAACATAAATGCATGGAGGTCGTCCACTCTCTCTCTCTCTCTGTCTCTGTCTCTGTTGGGACTCTGAATATCTCGGTCATTCGTCTTTAACCTTAGGTGTGATCAAGTGAGTGCAACAAAAATTCGAATGGCTACCCTACATATCAATAAGTACGCAAGCTGAAGTAACCCTTACTTTCGGCTCATAGCCTTATTGGCGCCTTGCATCAATGTCTCATCGAACGATACCAGAATGAGGCGCAACCAAGGCTTTCTCTCACGGAAGGATCGTGTCAGTCTAGCCACCGGTGCCAGCGCATGACCACTGGCTTCCGGGGGTAAGGGGTCATTCAGTCCTACCATCACCTCTGTGAGGCCTACTACTTCGACTCTTTTCCGGGTCTCATCAGCGGTGAGCTTTAAGCGGACACCACCCCCTCCTGCCTAGTTGTGTACAAGGACCAGACTTCCCGGCTTGTGCCCATTCTGCTCCTTCTATTGTTAATTGCTGCTGTTTGCGTTGGAGATACTCGGTAGGCCTTCTAGGCAAACGAAAACCAGAACGAGTTGGAGGCAAATCCTATCCAAGGTGGCCAAGCAGACCGGTGTCCATCGCAGCGAGCTGAACGACTCGACTAGGTTTGTGGACCTCGGAGTGGACTCCCCGATGGGCATTGCCATTAGCAATGTCCTTCCTAGGTAACTGGCCATGTCCATCCAGGGCGCCCGTTCTTTCAGAACAAACCTACCGTCGCCCTTGTGCACAGAGTCCTGGCGGTGGCCGTCGCTGAGCCTGACGAAAGAAAACGTCTTTCTCTCGGACCTTTCAAGCAGAACGCATTCTGCTTTTCTCCGGACGGCGACTACCTTTCCCTCTCGGAGACGGCGCCAACTCAACCCCAATGAAGCCTATGAAGAGAAAGAGCGGCGGTGTAGTAGTATTAATGGTGGCAGATGCTCGCACTAGACAGACGAAGCCCAACAGCGTGTCCATACGATCTATAAGTCCACCCCTTGGCACGGTTGGGACGCAGACAGAAAGCGAGGGACAGGATATAGAGTTGATGAAGGCATATGTTTTTGTATGCATGTATTTTTTTCCTATTTTTGTTCTTAATAGTATCTACCATTCTGCTGATTCCGGTTCGCGTCAGGTAGAAGCATATTTTAAAGCAAACAGCAGATAGCGTGCAACAGACTCAAAAGCACAGCCACTGTCAAGTACCCAGGTAGCGTACGCCCACTACGCGATAGACCACGAAGATACCTCGCTCCATCATATGGATACCATATCCATTGTGGCAATGGCAGACGATTCCCCACTCCAGTCTCGATTCCACATGTGTTAAAAGGGAGACACTTTTCCCTTGCGGGCGTTGTCCACCCCCCGAACCTGAATCTACTCCTATCCGCATTTTTGCGCCGTCTGCAAAGAAGAGCCAGACTCTCCCTCGGCCGCACGTCCTTGGCTGTGCTGGGCGCCAGGCTGCTTGGTGAAGAAACTGGTGGCGCGCCACTCGCCATCAAGAATTTAGCCTGGGTGGAAGACGGTCTGCAGCAGCACAGCCAGGCCGATCATGGCGCCCTCAAACACCATGAAGAGCGTCTCGGCGTTGTCACCAGCAGCGTTGAAGCCGTTGCGCAGCTCCTCGACGCGAAAGGCAGAGCGGGCGAGGATCAGTAGGGCGGCCGCAAAGGATCCTGAAAGAGTATCAGCAGACGAGGTATGAGCTGGGAATGAAGAGACACAGAACTCACCCACGAGGAAGTAAGCAAATGCTCTATGCTGACGGACATGAGAATACCGCGTGGTCCATGTGCTCCGGTTCCGTAGCACCCGGATTCCCATATCCAGCGAGAGCAAGACGAAAAGACCTAGACTGGCACACTGCAGTCCCAGACCGGCCCGCAGCAAGTCGAGCGCCCGGTCGAGGTCCTGGGGATTGAGTCCATCGGCCTGCGTCCATGCCGCACCGCCAGCCTGAAGAACAAGACAGATGATGTCAAGCGTGACGAAGATGATGGTGTAGGATCGATGAGGCATGAGTGACACGTGGGGGCCGTAAATGAGTACGATGCGTCCGAAGCAAAGGTAGATGGTGTAGCAGAGGAAGGCCGGGGCGATGGTTATGATCACGATGTATCTGTGCAGAAACAATGAGGTAACCATCAGTTTTCCGTGTAGTCGGAACAGGAAAGGGCGAGAAGGGGAGGCCATTCACTTACACGATGAATGTCTGGTTGTTGAACGGGTCATCGCGGAGCCTAATACGCTCGACATAGCCAACCACCTCGAGCGCCAGTCCGCACGCCTGGCCGAACAGGTAGCTCCAGGTCTTATACCGGATCACAATGGCTATCTGTGCTATCAGGATGGTTCCGAACCAGGCCACCATGAAGGCGTTGCCGCCCAGGTTTGGCAGGAACCCAATCCTAGACAAGCTGACCGGGCAAGTGCCCAAGGTGCAGTCGCTGGTATCCATATCCAGTCTCTGTGTTTCTCGTGTTGTCAGGCTGGCTATAAAGAGTGTTAAGAGAAAGGTGGGAGGAGATGGTAGAGGAAGAGGCCCTCCAGGTCTTTATGGATGAAGATGTGTGTATAACATGCAGACAACTCGCCGGTAATAAAAGGAAATGATGCCCGCCCTTAAATGAGTGTTTGAGCAACCCCTTAGTGCTGAGATCCTGATAAGTATCCATTTCTGCCTGTCCACAGCAGTAGACTAAAGACTGTGACCTTAGCTTTTCGTCGTCCTTGAGAGACGATGGTTTTCAACTATCCATGTAGATGATTGAGCTAGCTAGCAACGAGCAAGGAAAACCAAGCTAGCACCAATGACTAAGCGGCAAATTTCCTCTTTCGGACGGTGCATAGCCCTGCTGGACACGACAAACCTGCATACGCAAGTACAACAGCGGGGAGAGGACGTCCCCAATGACTCTCATGACCCCGATGCTTATCAAGAAGTACGCGCGCACAGCAGATTGTTCGTCACATACCTAAGCGGTCCGTTGAGTAGCAACCGGAAGTGACCCTCGCCCACGACCGGCCTCTGACCGGAAAGTTAGCTGAATTGAGTACCGCCTCATATCCTGGTCTGGAGAGACAAAGATGACGCTGCTGTGTCCTTCAGCCCCAGCACCACTAGCGTGCGACTGGTTGGATGCCGTCGTTATCGTTGACTGACAGCTGAATTACAAGTTGTCGATGGAATCGGACACATAGGCAGTCCGGTAAGCATGATACATGCGGCAGGTCGTGGCTGTATAAGCTACGTTGACCAGCGAGGTCTGCGGGTGAGCTCGAAGATGCTCGGCAACCCTGCCGTTTAATGGGAAAGGACTTGAGGATTTGTGTCGAGACTGCTGCGATGTGATACTTGCAGCTGTCATCTCTGTGTTCGTATTGCTACTGCTGCTGCTGCAAGTTGCTGCCTGTCTCCAGCAACAAGCTCAAGTTGCCGCCCTTGAGCACTCCCTTGTCAGCTGAGTAGTTTGAATGAAACATGGAAGAGTACTTACCGCAATATCAGAGTTGTTGATCATTATCTTGCGTCCATCATCGACTCTGGCTGCGCGGAAGACATCGCTCTTTTCTGCCACGTAGATGCCGAAGTGGTGGATAGGGGCCAGCCTGAAGGAGCACAATCTGGCCGGGGATCAGGCGGTGTTTGAGTATCATAGTGAACTTAATGAGGGATACCATGGTCGCGGCCATCCCCTCCGTGGCCGATGTTGGCCTTGACAACGCCCACGTACAATGGGTAGCCAGCAGCAATGCTAAACACACCGGCCGTGTCGCCAGCTTGACTGGCAGTGCGGCCCAATATCGACGTAGCTAAGCTGGGCGGCTTCAATGCCAGTCTGAGCCAGCAGGTCGCGGTACAGGTCCTGCTGCATGGCGGTGCTGGGGTGCGTGATGGAGATGGCGCCGGCCGAGCAGCTGCAGACCGCACCCCTGACGACAGCTAGCACGGCATCTCAGTCGGTGATGGCATCGGTTAGGGACTTCAGGACCACAATGCCTAGACCCTGGCAACGGCAATAGCCGTCAGCAGCGTTCTGAAAGGTGCCGCAGGGTCCCGAGGGCGACGGGGAGGATCCTCCAGCTCGGGCCCGCGGAGATGGCCGGGTCAGAGGGCCGAACAGACCAGCAGCACCGCCGACGGGCTGGAGGCGCAGGCCGAGTCGATGCTATACGAGAGCGTACCCCAGCCAAAGTGGCGGTCAAACCGCCCCGGGACAAAGGCTTGATGCGTTGCCGGTATAAAGTAATAGACGTCGACGGCCTCGTTGATGTCAGTATCGCGGTAGTCGTCGGCCGCCTGGCCAAAAGTGGAGTATATCCACTCGGCCGGTCCGGCTGCCTGCCGTGCCCCGGGGCGGTATCCGACATTGGCGGTGGGGCCATGTGAGGAGGTGTTGTGGGTAACTTGCACTTCGTTTCTCTAAGTTATTGTTTACTATCTACTACTTAGTGTCATTCATTTTTAGGATCCAGCCTATCCAGTGCCAGTTGTTGACCTATACAAATACGGATCATTCCCACCTCTTCAGGATGTAAAGCGTTGTCGACAAACACACACGTATTCTACCGAAGGTACTTGACGTGTGCGGCCATAGTCATCGCACACTTGGACAATCGGATCACCTCAGCCACAAAATCATCAACGGTGTTCAAGTCAAGCACATAGGGTGGGATCGAGCTTCTAGCACGGTCCACGTTCACCAAGTTCGGGATGGACTCGAGCAGTCTGAGGTCGTCTGCCGACTGGTCGTCCAGTGGATTCCGCAACAGATTGAAGAATAGAGTGACTACAGCAGATACGGGGTAGAAGAGTAGTACCCTATCGAAAAATACCCGTTCCTCAGTAGCTGGCCATCAGATTGAAGGAGCAGAGAGCAAAGTAGAAAAGGGGGTTGCTCACCAAAAGGCAGCTCCCATCAGGGAAGGAGCAGTATCGCGAAAGTACGTTAGACAAGACCGGCTGGCCTCGATAGACAAGGTCTGACTCTGACTGGACCCCGACGGCAAGGTCGCCGCCGTTGATACGGTTGCTTCGCTTCCCTCGGTGAGCCACGGGCTCGCGGCTCGGTGCAGAGCGGCCACAAGGTGCTGGTACTCAAAGTGCAGCACCATAACATGCATCCTCTGGCTGGCGTCTAAAGTCGGGTCAAGCCACCAGGCGCCGTTGCTGTTGCCGCCGTAGTTCCGGCCGAGCAGCATGGGCCGGAACCGGGCCGGGATGGAGAGGCGCCACCGCTCTAGCTCACTGTCCAATTCGCGCACTTCGCGCAGCAGCCCAGCGTTGGGTGTTGGGCGGTGATGTTGCTGGTTGGACGGATACTGCTGTAGGCGAATCGAGTATAGCAGCCTGCAGGCCTTGGACTTGATGATGCTCAGCCGTAAATCGCCCGGCAGGCAGCAGAGGGCGCCGCTACTGCTACTGCTACTAATGGTGGTGTCATTGTGGTCAACGTATAGCTCTTCTACGTAGCCCGGAGGTAGCGTAAGGTCGCAGTGCTCGTCTTCGATGCAGGGAGGCTGGCTGGTCCGAACTGCCACGATCTTGTCAAAGGTGTAGCAGAGCCAGAACAGCTTACGCGCGTGGCTTCTTGTCCGGCTTTGCTGCTCGGGCACATCGCTCCCTGCGCTGGGCTGCCTGTGTGCTCCCAACGAGAACAACAGGCGACAGGTTAGAGCCAGGGCCATTGAGGCCATCTGGATCTTGCCGCAGAAGAGGTGATACATGCACTAGTTCACGTTAGAAGCCGAAATGTACATTGGTAAGCACAGCACAGCTTAGCCTCTCCTCCCCCTTTTGGAACCGCAACTCACCTGCATAAGGCAAGTTTGGAGTCCCGTAATGTCCTGGCTCGCTTGGGCTAGGGGCATCAGGCGCTGGGCCTGCCAGACACATGCCTCGCTGTCAATGATGACGGCCATGTTGCGCGGGCTCCATTGTGTATGAGTAATGATGGCAAGAAAGGAGAAGACACAGGCCTGGGCTGCTGGGTTGGCTGCGTGGTGCGGATCGTAAGCTTGACTGATGGTTTCTCGAAACAAGACACCGTCGACGATGGGGAACACGAGTCGGAAGGGAGTCGCCCGGAACATTTGCAGATAGTCTTCGACGACATGTCGGGCCGGCAGTTCGATGTGATTGCAATCAGCCGGGTAGTCGCCTCCGGCACAGGAGGATGATGATAATAACGGCGACGTTGAATCGAGCCCCGACAGGTTGGAGAAGACGTGAGCCTGTCCCGTACACCGGCGGATCCAGTTCTGGTGGTCGACAGAGAAGAAAGGTGCACCGCTGGGCGAGACAATCTCGTCCAGATAGTATCGGGCAAATCTTGAGCCACATGCTGGTGGCACGGAGGAGGACGACGAGCCCTCAAGACTGGTGATCGAGATAGTGACAGTAGGTGAGGCTACGAGTGATTTCATGTGGGTGTCGGTATGTAATGGAGGCACATTGTTGCTGCTGGTTCTGCTGGCGCTTGGTGAGATCAAGGATAAGCTGCTTCTTGTCGTTTCTGTCGCGCGACTATTAAGAAGACGAGTCAACAGCCCTTGGTCGCCATTCATTGAACGCGAGACTCTCCGGGGCGAGGGCGAGCATCTTACAATGGGCGCAATGGCAACTCACAGTGTGGTGGGGGCTGCACGTCTTCTCCGGTGCACAACTCGCTTGAAGGTGCACTGTAGCTGGTGATGGCTGCACCAGTCGCACCGGGGCACAGCCGCATCGCAGTGAATCTGCAGTTGAGACGACTACGGTCAGTAAAGCAAGCAAGAATCACGAGTCACTGTTGCACATGCCTTCCTCTGATGGCACTCATCGCAGGCTCGCTTTTTAACAGTGAAGAAGCTGGCCATGGTTGCGTGGTGGATTTGGGCGGCCAAGTGGCAGATTCTGTGTTGGCAGACGATGGCTTTATGGCAGGTATGAATAAGATGCACTCGTGCCAGGAACGAGGGAACTAGTACGACCCAACATATATTATAGAGTAAGGTACGTATTGGTGAGCGTGTAAGTAGAAGGTGACCGGTAAGCTCGGTGAAGGTGGGGCAGATAAAATGTCACCGAAGGTCTGGAAAGTCAGGACCTGCGGCAACTTACCGAACAAGACCCAGTTTATTTTTTATCGCAAAGCAGTGACCCCACTAAAATTTTCTTATCGGGTCCTCCCCAACTCTCCATTTCTCTTGCGCCCGAGTCTGCTCCAAACAAGACTTTGTGGTTTTTCATTATACTCGTCTTTTGAGAACTTTTTCGCACTGCTCGACTGGACTTCAATCGACGACATACTAGCGAGAAAAGCCGGTCGCAAATACAGATTCCACCATGTCAGGCTTTCAGATCCCCGGACTGGGGTTCGCGAAACCAAACGAGACCCTGCCGCCGGTGCCCGCCGACGTTCTCGCTGCCGCCGCCAGCTTCGAGGGCGTAGATCCCGAGATTATCGCCGCCGCCAACGGCACCTCGGAGCAGATCCAGAACCAGAATGAGGACGTCAATATGGGAGAGAGCACGACCGAGTCGCAGCCCGCCCCTGCGCCTGCGCAAACAGCAGAGCCCGTCGCGGCGGCACCCGTCGCCGCCGCCGCACCACAGGAGGTCACCGACCCCGATGCCATGAACGTCGACGATGCCGCCGAGCCCCCTTCCCTGACAGACGCCCTCGAGGCCATGATCAGTGGTCTCGATCATACTCCCCCAGCCCAGCCAGTCGAAGTTCCCCAAGAGGCGTCTGCAGCAGCTCAAGAAGCGCCTGCGCCTACGTCTGCGTCCACACCTGCGACCGCACCTGCACCCGCAGCACCAAAGATGATTGACGCCCCTCAAATGCTCGAAAGACCCCAAATGATCGATGCCCCGACCTCCTCCACCGCCGACCAAGACCAACGAGACCCCGCCGCCGAAGGCGAAGGCGACCACCCCGAGTGGGAAGCCGACTCCTCGCCCTACGAGTCCTCCGACTCCTCTAGCGACTCCTCCTCCGACTCAGACGACGATTCGGACGCAGGCGGCTACCAGCTCCTCGGCGTAGAAGAGACGGCGCGCATGCTCATGGAAATGGAAGGCGGCTCAGACGACGAAGGCGGAGGCGACGGCAAGAACGGCGGCGGCGCGGGGGCCGGCGCCTCGGGACACCTGCGCACCAAGAACGAGGTCGCCGACGTCGCGGTCCCCGCCAAGCCCGACGTGACCCTCACCGCGGATGACAAGATTGAGGAGCTCGGGCTCGTGGAGCAGATTGTCGAGAACATCATGGTGGTGAGGGCTTTCACGCCGGGCGAGTACCAGGTCCTCGACACGGGGTCGGTGCTCTGCACCGAGGACCGGAAAGTGTTTGGCGTGGTGTGGGAGACGATCGGCAAGGTGCTGCAGCCGCTGTATACCGTCATGCTCTCCACGGCCGAGGAGATTGCCGAGGCCGGGCTGGCTGTCGGCGTGAAGGTGTACTACCCGCCCGCGCACGCCAAATTCGTGTTCACGCAGCCGTTGAAGAATTTGAAGGGATCAGACGCGAGTAACATCCATGACGAAGAGATTGCCGAGGACGAGATGGAGTTCTCGGATGACGAGAAGGAGGCGGAGCACAAGAGGCAGATCAAGCAGAAGAAGAAGGAGGCGAGGTTCGGCAAGGACGGTGGCGAACGTGGTGGACCTAGCGAGAAGAGGAGCAGGAATCATCGCGACCCGCATCCGCTGCGGAACGAGGTCAGCGCCGCGGCTGCCGGTCCTTCTACCGATGGCGGACTCAACTACGACGACGAGGACGATGGCCCGTACAAGCCCCTCGCGCGACCGCCTGGGTTCGGCCAGGCCCCGCCTGCGCAGCAGAGTTTCACTACGGAGCCTGAACCGGGTCGTTTCGGCGGGCGCAGA